TAACGTGGAGTGACTGGCTGTCTGCAGACTGTAAGCCCCTACATTCAGTTTTCCCATGTCTATACCGTACTGGTAGTAGTAGAACTCCAGGCACTTGTCATCAGTGTTATTTAGGGTTGGTAACAACAGCCTGGCAACGTCTCCCGTTTTCTTTCCGCTGGATCGTGAGTAAATGTAGTAACCTGCAAATATAGTGACCAAAAGCATAGCTATTTTGTTGTGGCACTGTTCCTAAAATAATTCTTCGTATTAGATTAAATGTAATCCAGTCAACTTCCACGGTTACATAGGATTACGGCCGCCATAATTTTAAATGACGTGGAAAAAAATTAAAAGAAAATTTACTGGATGATCTGTTTGGCTTTAATTACTCTAATTGTATTCAGTATTGCGTTAGATATGACTATGTCAGAGAACTGCATTGTGCTAGATGTGACCAAGTCTAAATGCTGCATTGTGTCAGGTGTGACAATAATTTTGCTTATTGACCATAATGGCATTATCGTGCATTAGATAAGACAGAATGAAAATGGTTGCATAGCATTTAATCTTATTTCAGACATGGAAAAAATAGGCATACCGTTGTTTCCAGAGTGGTCTCCGTTCGCTGGGCCAGAAAACGTGCTAGATGCTCTCCCCCTTCTCCTAGCCCAGTCTAGCTGGTCTGACTTATCCTGGATCATACCGCAGAAATTGCTATCGAACTGGCAGATAAAGACTAACGTGTTACTCTGGAAGTTGGCAATCCCCGGGTTGACCAGGCTTGATTTGGGGGGTATTGTTGCCCCCGGTCCCGTGGGCAGAGGGGGGAGGGTGGTGGTAGTCGGAAAAGCCGCGGTGTCGTTTATACATGGACCGGCAGTTGCTGCAACTGAAGGTTGACACGAGTGTTTTTTTCTATAAATTATTTTATTCATGGCTAATAATGTTTGTAAATTGTTGGTACTGTTAGACAAGGTATATTTCACAAAAAAAAAAAAAAAAAAAAAAAAAAAAAAAAAAAAAAAAAAAAAAAAATATAAAAAAAAAACAAAAAAAAATAAAAAAAAAAA